CTGTCAAAGTCAACTTCAACGTATGAAGACCCAACGCATATGAGACCTCCAAGAACCCTAGCCATCAAGTGCTCTGCTCAGGTCTTGCAAACTCAGGACATCCGTGGCTTTTTTGATTGACTTAATCCACCTGTAATGCAGTCTCCCTCTTTTCCTGCTGCCTTCTGCTTTACCAAGCATTATTGTTTTTTCTAATGCGTCATGTCATTTCATCATACAGTATGACCCCCATATCCATGGGAATGGCATCTGCAGTTTCACTGACCAACACCTGCAAAAATATCTTCTCTCTAGGCATTTTCTAGGCCCTCAAGCATGATTCTATGGTATATTTCTGGCAGAGATTGACCATAAAGTCATTCTGGAGAAGCTAGAAATGCCTAGAGAGGTACTCTGTCTAGGAATCCCTAGGTCCTCCAGTGTGACGCTATGATCAACTTCCACCAGATGTCATTCATTTCAACAAATTCACTATTATCTGCAATTTTGCATTTCCACAGTAAGTCTGGGAACGTATCCTCTGTGGATCCAGGGGTCATACCGTATATCCAAAGTTTGACAACCTCAGCTTGGTAACGTTTGCTTCTATTGAAAGTTCAACTTGATTTGCTCAAAGACCCATTCATTCAGGGTTTTTCTGACACTCCAAGGTACTCATAGAAGTCTCCTTCAGCACCACATTTCGAATAAACATATCAAGGGGTAGCCGTGTTAGCCATATAGCAAATCCAATCAAAAATCCACCAAACAGGGACGCCTTCATTGGCCAAACAAAATGCACAATGTACATGTTGCAAGCTTTCGAAGCTTCGCTAGCTTCTTTCAAATGAGTTGATTAAAATCTTCCTGACACCTTTCTTCGCTGTCCAGCTTTCGCAATCAGAAATGCTATGGCCTTTATTGGCCTACAGCTCCAAAAATTCTGCCAGACATTGCTGCTCTCAAAATCCTCTGCCTGCTCCCTTGGCCAAAGCCTCCCAAAAGCAAGCTGGCCCTAAACCTGGAAAAGCCTTACGCAAGTATTCAACTTGCTTCTAACACAACTAAGCTGCAGGTTATTTCAGAGGAAGGAACTGGCAAAGCCACCTCTGAGTATTCCTTGTCTAAGAAAACGCTAGGAAATTCGTGGGGTTGCCCTAAGTCAACAAGTGACTTAAAGGTGCATGCATATGTTCCCCCCCCCCCAAAAAAATCCCTCTGGTCAAATCTGGGCACCACAAATGAAATGTACCAGCTGAGCAAAGGTGCTCATATCAGCGCTTGCCTGAAACCGAATCCTCAGTCCTCATATCAAGGGACATATTGATTACAGCACAGTCAGCTCAAAAGTGAAGCTTGGGAAAGTTACATTTTTGCATTGGTGTGCAAATCCCCAGAAATTCACATTGGTTGGAGGCTGCTGGGAGCTATAGTCTTAAAACGCAGCTTTTTAAAGGCTCTGCTCAGACTCACACTATCCCACTCCATCCACCTTGGTGCAGTGTTCTCTATTTTGATATTTCTGTACAATACTTATTTTGACATAAATAGACAGACTAATAAGCAGTAAACTCCTTCAAACAGAGACTTAGTCCAGAGCTGGATATGTTTTGCCTGGAGAAAAGAACATAATGGAGAAGCGATTATTTGAAGGGTTTTCATGTCAAAGATGGGGCAGATTTATTATCCAGGAGGCAGAACAGTGGAAATGACAGATATCCTTGGGAAATATCTCCTAACAACAAGAACTGTCTGACAGCTTCAAGAGTGGTAGGTTATTCTATGTTGGAGATATTTAAGCAAAGGCGGTCTATCAAGGATGTCTACTGGCAAGTTTCCTCATTGGTAGACTAGATGACCTCCATATGCATTTCCAACTCTACAATTCTTGGTCTCTTCAAACCACCACTAGCTTGGGTGTTACTTTTTGGACTGCAACATGCACCATTTTCCAGCTTTAGCACAAATAAAGCCAAGCATTATTGCCTTTTCTAGGGAATTGTGTCTCCTTATGATATGTCTCAGTGTAGCAGTCATCTTGGCTTCTTGGCTTCTAGGGAGAGTTCAGACTTGATCTGTTCTAGGACCCACTTGTTTGGTTTTTAGGTCATCCGCAGTATCCTCAGCACCCTTCTCCAACACCACATTTAAGGTGTGCTTTGCTTAAATCTGTGCTGTGAGCTGCCTTGAGTCCCATACTGGGAGAAAGGAAGGGAACAAATTGAATAAATAAATAGGATGCCAATGTTTTGTAGGTGCTTCATTGCACATATCCCTTTTCATTGCAAGGAAGCTGGTGAAGAGGACAACGTGGCAAAATCTGGGTCAGGGCAAGGACCTCCCTATCCCCATGCATGCAGTGTGTACCCAGAAGCATGCATCAAGAAAGCAAGAATTGCAAGGCTACAGTCAGAGTGTTTGTTTTGGGGTCTTTTTTTTTTCTCCTTTGGCTACACTGCTTTAAACAAAGAGTGCAGATATCATGCCAACTTCACTTCAAAGCTTTACCAAAAAGAAAAGAAAAAACTTGCTTTGATGGCAGTGCATGGACAGAGCATACAAGTCATGCAAATTACTCAGCTGCAAAATATAAATGGAGGTGCTGGCCAGGGAGCATGAAAATGTTGCTGATTCGTCTGGAAATTCTGTGTCTCCCGCATTTTCCCTGACTCTTGGGAACTGTCTGCTGTCTTAATGGCTTTGGCTACCTTTCTTTCAAATCCCTTGGATTGCCCTGAAACACCAGATGCCTGCCTATAATGTGTGGACAATGTGTGGGCTCATAGTCCAGCTGACCACAGCAGCCAAGCATCTGCCCCAGCTGCTCTCAAGATGGAAGGTCTGGAGGGGGGCTAGAGAAAAGAAAAATGTAGCACCTCATTTAACTGAATGGACTATGGGTAGGTAGTGCCTCTGAAAGTATATGAAAGGAGGAGGAGGCATAAGAAATACTGAGAAATCTGTGATCATAATTCAAAGAGTGGCACTAGTAGACAATGCAGTGACCATAATGTGTCAAGATACTACAGTCTTCCACATACAGTGGACTACAACTTCCAGCTTCTCCATCGTATTCGTTAACTGGCCATTGCTGCCTAGGGGAAACTGGAGTTGTAGTCCAACACCTCTGCAGGGTGCCAGTTTGGAGACGCTGCCAAATTCCCACTGAACTGAGGCTAATTCATTTACTTTCTCCACTGCAGCCTATGGACCATTGGCAGGCAGATCATTCTTTCCCCCCACCGCTATCCAGTAGCTAGATTGGTTTTAAACTGGAGATGCTGAGAATAGAACTCAGGACCTTCTGCATGTGACACACAAGTAAAACAAAGCTTGGAAATGTTATTCCCAAAAGTCAGGGGTTTCTGGAAGTTGTAGTACAAAAAAGTAACTTTTCCAAGCTCTGCTCAGGCTTGGACACACACACACGCTCTTGATCTTTGTGCATTGTGATCCATCTTGGTATTTGCATAGAACATTTATTACACATGTATACATACACACACATAGCATAGACAGACAAAAGATGGAGACAAAGCCAGAAAGACAGGCACTAGGCGTCTCTTTGCATAAACACTTTAGTCCAGAGCTGGGTATGTTTTATCCTGGAAAAGCCACACTGGGGGATTTCAAAAAAGTAAGATTTGTAATCCAAAAGAAGTACTATTATCAAGCTCAGCACACAGACTTTTATCACTGAACCATAGTCTTTTTCTAAAACGGTTAGACAAACTCACACAGAGTCGTGATAGCTGTATGTCACCTCCTGTATCAGAAATGGCATGCCTCCTTGCTTACCAATTGCTAGGAAAATATGAGAAAGAAGGTGCAGTTTGCCCTTCTGTCCTGGCTGTGATGTTTCCATGGGCATTTGTCTGGCCATAGTGAGAAATAAGACTGTGGACTTAGGTCTGACAGTCTTAAATCCATCCATCTCCCAATTGTCTGGTATCTCTCTATCCTTTGGGGATGGGACCTTGGCAGCATTCAGATCTGGGTACTAACCAAAGGGACCAAACCAACTCTTTAAAAAGGAGATAGTCGAGAAAGATCAGAATGCGGTTCATCGCAACTGACCACATCTCTTTGCCAAGGAGAACCAGCTGCCAAAGACTGATCTTGGCTTATTCCACTCTCCTGGGAACCTACCTGAAATAACCTTTTCAGAAATAAATCTGGGTTCAAATCTGTTTGGAAGAATACATTCTAATCCAGGAAAGCAATGGGTCTCTAAGGTCTGCCTCACCTTCAGGATGCCCTCCGACAAGGTGGACAAGAGATCTCATTTTACCATCACTGGGCATCTCAACCTGCTTGTAATTTTAACAAAGCTCCCAGATACAACGCTTTATCAACAATGCCCTCTGAGATATCTGCTGAGACTTGCAAGAATCCGTGGCGTGAATTTAATTCCTACAAATAGGGGTGGGAAAAAGTCTTTAGGAGCTATTTTGGGGAGGACTCTAGATTTGTGGCAACTTTTGAAGACCATTCCAGTGGTGGCTGGATTCTTCTGTGTCAGTGGAGCCATGAATCCAACCTAGATTTTAGTCTCAACTCCAAACTTTAGCCTGAATCCAAACTAAGTTCAACACCTGGGGTAGCCCTAGGAGTAAAAGTAGATTCTCCACCTCAATGACATGGGAATGATCATCTGCCACTGGCAATCCATTACTGTGCTGCTTTTACACCTTTTGGTCATGGTTTGATGCGCTCAAAGAAACTACATCTTCACCTTCAAATTCTTTACTCCTCTTACAAATATGACCAAAAAAAAAAATGGCTAGTCCATCTGACCACAAATAGCCATGCTTGTAATGTGTAATGCCTGAGTCACCTAAAATTAAAGGGAGAAGGATAAGATCTAGTCCTCATTATGAAAGTGTTCTTGCCTGGGAACTAACTGCCTGTTTCTACTTTGTTGTAGTGGTTGTGTGCCTTCAAGTTGTTTCACCACCTATCACAGAGTTTTCTGGGGCTGAGAGTATGTGACCAACCCAAGGTCACTCAGTGGATTTCCACGGCTGAGCAGGGACTCAAACCCTAATCTCTGGAGCCCTGGTCCTATGCTCAAACCACTACACCACGCTGGCTTGTTTCTACTTACAAGCCTGATTTTCTGCATCCCCAGCAGCAAATTCCACCACAAGATCCCATCTCCTACTCAAAATTCAATAAAGATACTGAACATGCACAAGATCCCATCTCCTTGATGAGGAGAGAACCCTGGAGATTTGTGATGCCTCTGTAATATAATACCAGACATCTTTAAATCAGCACTGATTTCCCCCCCCCAAAAGCAAAGAGCATGCCCTTGGAGCCTACAGACAGAAGCAAAAATATTCCTGTCTCTTCCTTGACTGCATTCTACCGTAACTCCAAAGGATTCTCTCGGTTGCCAAAGAAATGGCACACTTCCTCTGATTCTTCTGGTTCTTTAGCAAATCTGGTCTTTCTCTATAGACACAGTGAGGACTAGGACCATTCTGTGGTTTTTGAAAGATAAAATTAGCAAGCGCACTGAGAATCCTGCATGAATGATGTGTACAGGGCGCTTCAAAAAGAACGGAGCAAAACTGAATAAGAACAGCTTTCCTTTTGCACCGTTCTTTTTTTCTTAAACTGCCTTCTCTTCTTTTAAAAGAAAATAGCAATTGAATCACTTTCGTGAACCTGTTTAAGGGCATGGTCTTTAAGGGCTTGATGGGAGGCAAAGGGGGCTCAGAAAGACGGAGTGTACCACCCCTTTCCTCCATGATACTCCCTACTCTTTCATGTATTCATGTATGCATGCAAATATTCTGGGAACTATAGTTTTGTGAGACATTGAACCTTCTCTGTCAGAGAACTCTGGTGCCACAATAAACTACCATTCCCAGATTCCCCTCGCACTGAGCCAGGGCAGTTAAAGAGGTCTCAAACTAGATTATTTCTGCAGTGTGTTCCTCCTTCCAGTCTGTTCAAGCCAGTGTGGTGTAGTTTGAGTGTCTGGTTTGAGTGTTGGACTATGAAGATCAAGGTTCGAATCCCGGCTCAGCCATGGAAACCCTCTTGGTGACCTTGGGCAAGTCACACTCTCTCAGCCTCAGAGGATGGCAATGGCACCCCCTCTCTGAAGACACTTGCAAAGAAACCCCTATGAGAGGTTCTCCTTAGGGCTGCCATAGGTTGGAAATGATTTGAAGGCATACAACAAGAACAAGTCTGTTCCCAGCCTCCAGCTACAAAGCGAATATAAAAAGTAGAGATCAAAATTGCTAATACAAATGAACCCACTGGACTCCTGTTAACATATAGTCTTGATGTTAAAAAGGACTCCAAAACCCATCTGCCTGGTGGTGACAGCTCACTACACTGTTCCACTCAACAGCCTTTTCCACATCACTGACTTCTGCACATCTCTATGAGAAACTGATCAGGCATGAATTGGAGCAACATTAATTCAAGAATTGAATATTTGAGGGATTAAAAGCTGGGGATTTTCAGACACATCCATTATTTGCTCACTCCTCACCAAGAAGGCAATTGGCTGCTTATGCAACTCAGAAAGAAAAGCCAGCTGTTTCATGACTGCTCCCAGAAAACACAAGTCCCTGTTGTGCAATTGCAGTAAAAAGAAACAATAATCTCAAATATATTGTTTGTACGTATATATCACCAGCCAAAGAAGCGACGTCTCCTTTCCCATATATTAGGGAAGGGGAAAGAGACCCAAGAAATGAGTTGGCCAGCCTAGGACTGAGCCAAGACATGAGATGCCCAGTTTATAATTCCCATAAACTGCAACTTTTATTAAATAAAGTTCCTGGCCTGCTAGACATTTATCCACTATATTTTAATGCTGAGACAAGTGAATAATACAGAGACGTGCGTATAGCCATGCATAGCTAAAAATGGGTCCAAGAGCCTTCTTTAAAGCATTCTTCAGTTATGGACAGCTTCAGCATGTTGTTTTATAGTTGTTCTTCCTAAAAAAAAGTAACTTTCCCAACTGTGCTGGAAAATGTTACTGTCTTAGACCACAACTAGCAATGAGAGCAAGCAAGCAAGCAAAAGGTTTATTGAATAAGTCAACAGATCATTATCAGAAACAAATAAAAATACCAAACACATACAAAGTGTAGCAAATGCAAAAGAAAAGGAAGAGAGCCTATTTAAATACTCGTCCCTTTCCTCCCTTAATAAACGGACTACTTTAACTGCAAACAGGGCTCCAGCATGTTGTTATATATAAATTCTTCATAAAAATAACTTTCCATCAGTGATAGGAAACATCATTTTCTTAGACCACAGCTCTCAGAAATCTCCAGTAAACATAGCCACTGGGACCTGTATTTTTTTACTTATTTGTGAATGGAGATCACCAAATGACTGTAACCCATATCAAAATTCACTTACAAGAAATTAGTTTGTCCTTGAGACATGTCTACCATCATATCCAGACTCTGGAAATGCTATCTTTTGGACTACAACTCCCAGAATCCCCATGGCCACTGCCCAGTCATACAGTTGTTCCTCCTTTTTCATTTCTGATCGCTTTTCATTTGATTTCTATAGTGATTCCGGTCACTCAAAAGTCCTAAAGCCAGTTCACAAAAATCCTGACATAACCAAGTTAAACCATCTAACAGAACTTCTGGTTTATGTCAGGATAACAAAACCAGAAGGTTACCTAGACCAAGAATGGCAAAGATATATAAATTTAGATCCACACTCCTACATTGCATATGTTAATATTGAAACCTAACCAAAGCTGACTCAGGTATTCCAGCGTAAAAAATGAGCTAGGAAATAAATAAACCATAACCACTGTATATTGCCTTCCTCTGCAAAATTAGCCCTCTGAACAAACTAGGCTTCTACCTAGAGCACCTTTTTGCACACCTGTGTGTGTGTGTGCATGCATGCATGTGTACAGTTCATAAAGAAGGAATACTAGGGTCCAAAACACACTGCAGAAATAATCCAGTTTCAGACCATTTGCACTGCCCTGGCTCAATGCTGGGGAATTCTGGAAACTGTCGTTTTGTGAGACATTGAGCCTTCTCTGTCAGAGATCCCTGGGGCCACAATAAACTACAATTCCCATGATACCCAAGCACTGAGTCAGGAGAGTTGAAGCAGTCTCAAACTGGATTATTTCTGCAGTGTGTTTTTGCCCTGGGCCAAGGAATTTGGAGAGACCCTCACCTGCGCCAGAGCTTGACCCTTTGCTATTCAGGAGAGTAGACTTTAAGCTTTGAGGATCAATGTTTCTTTTAGCCATCACCGCTAGATCCTCCAAGTCCACCGAAGGGACCCAAGTGCGAAAGAGCAGCGCCAAAAAGCTGAGCAGAGAACTGCCAAAACAAGGTTAGTCCATGTTGGGCTGAGGAAGGCATTTTCAGCACTTGATCCTCCTCCTGTTCGCTGCCCCATACGCACACAAGCATCTTTATTCCAGAAGCCTAATTTAGGACAATGAAGGGGGAGAAAAAAAAAACCTAGCATTTTGATGCTGTTGTTTTTGAAACCACTGGGAGTCAGAAATCTTTGCCGACCTACTGCAAACCACTACAAGATTTAAAGGTAAATTCCAGTCTATCTTCAGCCCACCATTCATGGATCTAATTTTAAGGTGTTAAGCTGCATTTGATGACAAGGGATGGTTCCATAAAAGACTGCGGCAGAGGAATAAGAAAAATGGATTTTGTCCTCAAGACAGATGGAGGCACACAATACCGGGGGATTCAAAAAAGAGCGGTGCAAAACCGAATAAGGACAGCTTGACTTTTGCATCCTTCTTTTTGAATCACCTGCTATACACGTATTCTTTGGTCTTTCACAACATAGGGCAATTTGCTTGTGTATGAACAGCCTCCATTTGGTGATGGCCGTTCTCTCGCTGATGGACCACTATGTATTCCTGGATGCCAGAGATTAGCTAGCCCTTGCAATCCCTTCCTTCTCCATGGTCCTTTCTCACAAAGCACCACTTAAGGCTGCAGAGATCAAAAGTTAAGCATAAATCAGAAGACAGTATGACAGAAGACAGTCCCTTCAGATCTCCCTTCCTCTTTTTGGCACCTTTCAAATATGATGCACTATAATTCTCATCATCCAAGACAGCATGCTATTTGAGAGGCTGGGATCTATAGTTCAGCACATCTGGACCATCTGACTCAATGCTACGGGATTCCGGGAACTGTAGTTCTGTGAGACATTGAGCCTTCTCTGTCAGAGAGCTCTGGGGCCACAATAAACTACAGTTCCCAGGATTCCCTAGCACTGAGCCAGGGCAGTTAAAGTGGACTCAAGCTGCATTATTTCTGGCAGTCAGTAAAGACCCTTAATCATGTAACTACAGAGATCTACTCAAAGGATACTAGCATATAAATCCATTTATTTGCATGCCTGACTACACACACCTCTGTAAGTCATTTGTGGCAAATGGAGAGGGAAAAGCCTAACTTCCTTGCAATTTTTGGGAAATGCTTATTCACCTAGTTGATATTCTGACTCGTCACAGGTGACCAAGGAACTGGGTACATTGCAATGCAGCTGCAAGACAATCACAGAAACAGGTGCCATTTTCCAGGACTAAAATCCAACCCCTGCCTCACCAAGGATCTTCAAAGTATCTCTAGCAGATGCTTATCTCAAACAGTTTCCTCAAGAAGGTCAAAACCAGGTAGCTGGGTTGGCTCCTTTTCCAAAAAGTCAGCGCTTTCAAATAATAATCCCTTTATGACAGTCAAAGTGCAACATGCAAACTTCCACAAAAACACTGAGCTCTTCCTCCATCTGGATCGCCAAAGGCAGAGAGAAAAATAAGGGCACGTTTGTGTTAAGACTTAACAACATAGAGCCAGTGACTTAAAAATCCTCACACACACATCCAGCCTGGCAAAGAGTTCTGCGTAACACAAAGGCTCACACATTGCAAGGGCTAGGCAAAAACAATGGCTGGGAGGTGACACAACAGCCAGCTCCTCTTATGCTCATTGATATGGGATATGTTCCATGGGGAAGCCTTGTGGAAATGAAGAAGAACAAGTCTTTTTTAAATTCCTTGCACTTAATTTCTCTGTCTCACACAGACACAACCATTTATAACTACACACACATGTGCCTCACACACAGCTGCAAGTAATGAAATTCTGGCCAACACTCCACACACCTGATCAAGAAGGCTCTAGGTCACAGAAAAGGGTTTGCTACACAGTCCAAGTCTTTTAAGATACTAAGAAAAAGACTTAGTGCAGTTACTGGGGATGATGGGGACTGAACCAGGCCCTTCCAGGGAGAGTTGCCCAGGAAAACATCCCCCTGAACAAAACTTGCCAAGAAAACCCCAGGACTTAGGGTTGCCATAAGTTGGGAACAACTTGAAGGCACACGACAACAACAACAGATGGGCCCAGGAGCCATGTCTTGGATCTTGTGTGCAGCTCCCAAATCTTGGTTGACTTTTAGCACCCCATAAATTTCCTAGGAAGTTTCTCATAGGCAAGAAATGCCCAGATGCACTCTGCCACTGCTTTGATTTTGAGTTCCTGCATGGCAAGGGGTTGGACTGGATGACCCTTGTGGTCTCTTTCAACTCTGTGATTCGATGATTCCTCTGAAATAAGAGCTTATGGCTACTAGCACACAAACAAGGAAGCCAGCAAAAGCTGTCTCCATCCATTGTTGTTGTTGTTGTTGCTGTTGTGTGCCTTCAGGTTATTCCAACTTATGGCAATCCTAAGGGAAATCTATTATAGGGTTTTCTTGGCCAGATTTGTCCAGAGGATTTTTGTCATTGCCTTCCCCTGAGGCTGAGAGAGTGAGACTTGCCAAAGATCACCCAGTGGGTTTCCATGGCTGAGCTGGGAATCGAACCCTGGTCTCCAGAGTCATAGTCCAACACTCAAACCACTATGTTGCACTGCCTCTGTCATCTCCATCTATCCTTCTCCCCCCAAAAAGGCTAAAAACCTAGAGCCATAGCAGCTGGGAGCAATTGGGGGCTGCAACCTGAGACATCTGGAGGACAGGTTGGTCATCTACATCTAGGGGCATGCCAGCTGGGAGTCACAGTCCATGGCTATATATCCCTGGCTTGGGAGCTTATGGGGAGTTATAGTTCTCCCAGCCAATTCAAAAAGTCTTTTTTCAAAGTTCTTGGCCAGAATCAACTGAGGTCCAAAACACACTGCAGAACTAATCCAGTTTGAGACTGCTTCAACTGCCTGGTCTCAGTGGTAGGGAACCCTGGAAACTATAGTTCATTGTGGTCCCAGAGCTCTCTGACAGAGAAGGCTCAATGTCTCACAAAACTACAGT